AAGGCACACACAACCGACAATTCCTCTATTCGCTCCGACGAAGGGCTAACGCTCGAAACGTCAGCTTTTGCAATCGTTACGGTGGCCAATTTACCATTTCAACTTTGTTGATATGTCCAAATTATTTTGTTACCCCCACCGACGCAGCCCCAAACAGTTGCTTTAGAAACTATCAGCCTTTGTTTCCTCCTCTGTTCCCCCTAAAAACCATCTGTTGCCCCAAAAATCCTCCGATTTCCCCCTCCGGCAGTAAATAATGAATGGTCCCTAAATGATAGAAATCGATCGTTTTCCTAGGTATACACAATAACACAAGTTGATATGTCGTCTTTGTAGTGGCGACCGTAACTTGCATGTAACTTGCAAGTAACAAAGGGTTTGAAGACCTTATTCAAATCACTGTACGTACATTCATGTGGTAAATCATCATTTCAGACGATAGTCGACTTCTGTGTGAGGCGTCTTTCGCTTTTTTATATAGAAGTGACTGAAAAAAGATGACAAAGCAATCTTGTGGTCGGAAGTCTGTTCTATGAACATAATTAATACAATTAATTAAGGGGTAAAACGAAAAAAAGTAATTACAGACAAGACTTCAAAAAGCAAAGCAAGAAAAGGCAGGCGATTGACCTTTTTCGCTTGTATGTTTTGCTTACCCATTTCAGGTCGCAAGCTTTATCTTTTGTAAATTCTACGTACATATGCACGTGAATAGGAGGAAATTTGAACATTTCTCTAGACTATTATCACATGACCTTAAATGGGTAAACAAAACATACAAGTTAAAGAGGTTTATAGTTACCGAATTTAACCACCTTCAGTTATTGAAAAGTAGCAAACTGTCCAAAGTAACGTATGTCTGTTTCTATTAATTATGATCATCTATTCAATTTCGGTCGCTTGTTTTTTTTTAAACCATGTTGGTTTTGTTTTGTTTCGTTTTGCTTTTGTGCTTAGTTGTGTCGTTTTGTTTTGTTTTTTTCGTTTGTTTGTTCAACGCCTACACATGCATGCAGGACTGTAGAGCTTTTAACTTCCAGAGGCAAACTGCGACGAAACAGTTTCTAGCTAATTGTTTCTTTGTTGCTATTGCTATCGTACGTGTCTGTTTCCTGTTTTTATTTCGAAAAGTACAACCATCACGCATAACCATTACAAAACATTGTGTCAGCAACTTACATGGAAAATGCTCACACCACAATAAATGGCAAATGCTCTAGTCAGATCTTCATCAAACTTTGTAAAACAAGAACCTGCAATGTGAAAGAAGCATTCAATTCATATAAAATACATTTTGATGAGATTGCTGAATTTCTGTTGGGTCCAAAACATGAAATTTGTATCGCCAACATTGAAAACACAATCTATATCTGTCACAGATGAAGAGAACAATGTTCTCATAGTAACTAGATATGTCAACTTTGTGATTCTATTTTAAGAAGAGCGCTTTTAACGATTAAGTTCGATACAACTTACATTTGAGTCAAAAAAAAATTATTTTTAAGAGAACTTGCTTTCTTTCTACTTCATAAATTAAAAAAAAAAGAGAAACATATCCAGTGGGCGAGTTGATATGTAGATGGTCCCTTCATTCGATGGTGCCAAACTGTGTTACAAAATTGTCTTCAGTACTAAAACATAACTGTGTTCTATATAAATCATGGGTAAAATATATCATGGGTTGGTCAAGCTGCCGACTCTTACCAAAACTCTATCCTCGCATGGTGATCATTCATTTTGGTTCATTAAACATTAAAAACCGATACTAGTCTTGATTGACATACCATTTGTCTTGTTGCACAACTGCGCTACTCCGATAACATCTACAGGTAATAAAACAAAAAAGGATGGGCAATTCAAAAAATATAAAAAGAAGACCATAATGATTGTACAACCTTTATGAAAATAAATAAATCGATAAAAATACATAAAGAAAAGTCACTTACCTTCTTCATCCTTTATCGGAAAGCAGAGAATATTTCTAAACATAAGCAAACATACAAACATTTAAACGAACGACGTTCAACAAACATTAACAATAACGTCTGTAAATAAAGTATAAAGATAGATGAATAAAATAATGCATCGTTGGTAGGCAATACTTCCACATACAAGTGTTATGACGGAGTAGAGCTTTGCCTTCCTGCGTGCAAGAGTATTAGAAAAGTCACGTTTACACCGATGCAACGTTGAAGAAGTGGACAAACCTTTACCTTGTTCTGAAGCCTGTTTTCTCGTCAAGCCCCTTATAGAACAGAGGATGGCTGTACACGTCTTTGATGTTCAGCATCTTTCCTGATAACGAAACAAAATACGCAGTCAGTAATCTTACGCTTTAGACGTACGTATTTGGCCCTTGAGAGATAAGCGTTCGCAAGTAGTTTCAGTCTTGTTATAACTTATGCATAGAATTAACTACTCACTTCAACACAAGCTAACATCATCTACTGATTAAGATTGATTTTTCATTTTGTAATCAAATGAAAAATCAAACGAAAAGAAAACTGTCCTTCATTTGTGATTATATCTTCTGTTATCCTTTAACAGCAGGAGCTCAATAGTTTGCAGAACCTCTGCCTTATGTCTCAATTCTGTTTTGGCAGTAAACCAGTAAACTAACCGCAATTACGGAGGTAGAAGAGTCGTGAGGAGTTGTGGGGTGCTAAAGGCGCATTCCGCTGTAAGACAGAAATATTACAGACGGTGTGTTATAGTAAACTCGTTTTCATTCAGTACCTGTTGTAGCAACGTGTCCCACGATGCCCTGGGTAACTGGAATACTTACCTCTGGTTCCTACACAATTCAAAGACAATACACATGTATTTCATAATTCAGGTAAAGGAGGTGGAAGTTCGTACTAGTTTTACTTAAAAAGCAGACGCTAACAATAAAAATAATATCCTCTAGGCGACGAATTAACAGAGAAATAAAACCAAGCTACTTTTACGAAGGTTTTAGCCTTCGCACTACCAAGCTCATTAACTCCAGGTAGCCCGTGCACTGTCATGAGTTCACCAATCTTCTTATAATTCGATTCAAAGCACCAAATGTTTAATGTCTTGGAGCAAACAGATGGGTAAACCACGGCCGGGAGACAAGACACTATTTTGCTATCTCTGGGCTGCCTCATTAAAACTATTCCGAGAAATCGAAACAGGCGTTGAAATGCTCAATAGGGAGCTTTAGCAACGACGACGGCGACGGCCGGGGAGCTTTAGCAACGACGACGGCGACGGCAACGAAAACGTCGTGTCGAAATCTAACTTTTCATTTTCGTAACTATTTCGAGATTATTCCGATGTGTTTCACTTGGAAAATGCTGGCGAACTATTCAAGGACTATATCACTACGAACGGCGTTAAAGTAAGGAAAAAAAAAGAAAAATTGAACGTCATGCGCTCACGTTCTCGAGAAAACCTAAAATTTGGTTATTTCCGTTGTAGTTTGGCCGAGAACGGCAAAGAAATATACCAAAATGTTAAACGCACGTGCAGGGCGATTGTTTTTGCTCATTAAGCCTATTGTTTTCTGCCGTTCTCATTGCCGTCGCCGTCGTCGTTGCTAAAGCTCACTAATAGCTCAAACAAACCTTTCCGTTGTCTGTGCCATCTGAGGGGATTTCTCCATCAAAGACCTTAGCCACAAGTTCATCTCTTTCTTTGTCCCAGAGAAACAGAGAGCACCTTCGAGAAATAGATCGATGATCATCATTAACACTTTTGATCAGAACACTTTTCAATTAAGTGTCAAAAGTAATTCGGGTTACATTGGCTTTTCTTTGCTCTGCTCTGTGATTGGTCTAGAAAAGTCGCGTCACCCTCCCAGTCAATTAGATGCAAACTAAAACTGAAAGCGACTTGGTCACTCGAGTTTCTCGCGCTTAAGACAGATTGCTCATTCTCCTTCGTCCCTTGTGATATTTTCCTTTACTCTGATTGGGTAGTGTGATCACTTTGGTTCTATAATTAACAATTATTCGCCGAAGGCGAGGTGAATATCGTCGAATAATACCCGAGACGAAGTCAAGGGGATTATTCGACGATATTCACGGAACCTGAGGAGAATAATTGTTTTAGTATAATTTCAGAGCTGAACAACAGAGAAATTTCTAAATTCATGACATTTTAGTAACATTTATTAACATTTTATTTTAACATTTTATATAAACCGCGTGAGCGGTTTATATAGCGTCATAGAAGGAACCGCTCGACCAATCAGATTGCTGGAAACTCTTTGCTCAGCTCTGAAATTAAACTAACACCTAATCGAAATGCACACTAAGGTTCCGTGAGTGTCTTCTCTGTAGAGGTTTCAGTGTGAAGAGATGTGCGCGCTCTGGGAACAGTTCATGGTACAAATCAGTTCACGTAAAAGGCCAGGAAAAATAAGGCCTTGAGAAAGCAGCTCCTAATTCCACTTTACCTTTCCGCGTTGGTCAAATTTCGAGCTTCTGTCATGATTTCACTCAACAAAACGCTAACATCATCTGGAAATCAAAATATGAGTGCTTGAAGATCAATCCACGTAACATCGATTTGTGGGTTGGAATAGAACGTAGACCTGATGACGCCAATTAGTGTCATTTCATGAATAAAACAATCAACAACCACATAGAGCTAGGGAATGAACGGCCCGAGGGTTATGAACTCTATATATGGAAGCTTCGCCCAAAAGGGATACTACTTGTATCTAAAGTTACACGATTTTACGAGCTAACGAAAATGATAACTATAGTAGAGTATTTACTATCGTGTGTCTGAGAGGATCTATCGATTAAACCATTCCATTGGAATTGGAGGTCATCTTGAAAACTTGATTATCGTCAGTTAGCAAATTGCAGTGAAGTAACTGACTTACTTTAAGCCTATGATGTTTATTTACCCCGGGTACAACTGCTTCTGCTTCCCTCTTTCAGTCACAGGCTACCCACTAAGGAAGGCACGGCGCACGTCCGCTGCAAACCAAGTAATCCTCGCTAACTCTAGCCTAGTTCAGCCGAGCAGATAACCACCTATGATAGATGATTTTAAAACTGTTCTCACCTACGAGAGTAAACAGGTTTTTCGCCACCTTCAATAAATGCTGGTGAGAAAGAAAACGAAACACAAGTTAATAAATGTCTTCCCTAACAACACTGCACCGAATAAAGTACCCTCCTCGCACTCTCTGGGGCATTCCACCCTCCTCCTTTCCCTAACTCCCTCAATTCGTTGTTCTCATTCCAGAAATTTCATATTAGTTAATAGCAAAGATGTTTTAAGACGCGGCGGAATAGCCCGGGAAATGAACTGTAGTACTTCTGGCGCACTTTCACACGAACCGACCAACTGGATAATCATTGCTTCAGCACCTGAACCATTTCACTCCCCAAATCTTAATATCAATTCTCAGTACTGTCTAAGACACGTTTCCTATGATTTTAGCCCTGAGATTTTGGTGTTAGATAAAATAGTACCCCTTGATTGATGATTTTGTTTCTTCTCAATGCTTTTCTTCTTGAAAATGAAGGGGAGTTGTTTCTTAAAATTTCCTTGTAGCTACTCCTGGAAGTTACAGATGCAACGGAAATCTGAAGCCAGTGCAGGAAAAAAGAACTCTCGAATTACGGCTAACGTCCGTGTGTCAAACAAGTTTGTGCCTAAGCTCTCGAATAGCTCAAAGTGTCTTTTGGTTACACGGTGGTAATACGCAGCATGAGTACAGGATTAAGTAACAAGGAGTCATTTTAGCGGGACAAATGTCACAACAACTGTCATTTTTTCACAATTCTTATTCGTTGAATTAATCGCTTGGAGGAAAAAATACTGAAAGGAAGTCTAAAACAAACTTCTGTACACAGGAAAAGAAAGAATTTAGTGGAAGATATTTTTGAAGTCAACTGTATAACTCACAGCTGCATTCGTCGATCTTGGCGAAGTCTGATGATCGTGTGTTTTGCATCTTTGGAACACTTCAAAAATCGAGACTCGATTTCATGCGTTCCAAGTAGTGTTACAGGATTAAAAAATTCAGAACAGTAATGGACAAAAAATATCTGATTATTAAAAGGTATGTAGGCATGAATAAACGATACAAGATTAACGGATATGTTCACTCCAAAGTAGGAAGCAGTTTTACGTGTCTCTCAAACAAATTACAAATTACACATTTATTGGTATCGTACTAGAGCACGCGTTACGGAGTATTGGGCTATCAGCTACGATAGTAAATGTCCAATCACAAAGCGTGTAAGAATTCCAGCCAATTGGAATGGATACATAAGTCCGTACAAGCTTAAAAACAGCTTTGGCGGCACGAGCGTGTCAGCGCCCGCAAGAAGGTTTAAGGTGACCCGGCGAGAGGTCCGAGAAGGGGTCTGGCACTAATAACCCTCGTAGACTTCTAAACGGCTTGCTTTGTTCGAGGCCTGAAACTTAACGCGGGCGAAGGAAAGCTCGTACCGTAATGCTAGTTGCGAAAACGCACGTTGCCGGATATTCCGGAACTACAATTATATCTATATCTCACCTTTTGTTGCCTTTTTATCACCATTTCTCTTTCCCATTCTAGTGTGTTTTCTACTTGACCTGCAATATGCTCACAACAAAACTGAGCATTTTCTTCATCAAAGGAGTAAAATCTGAAAATAGTCAGAAAAAAGAAATCCTTCTTATTGAAAAGGGAAGGAACATTCCTTACTTACAAAGTGTACACTTAATTGTCAATAAAACATTCTGTTTTTGTAAATGCTTTAATTAAAGCGAAATAGTTAGCTATTAAAAAACGAATACGTTCTCGATATAGTGAGAAGGGGACATTTTAAGGCTGGTTTTCACTTATGAGAAAGTCGGAGTCGTAATTGGAGTCGTAATCAGGGGCGCAGAATGATCCGTTCTAGTGAAAATCAAACCCCAAAATCGGAACAAACAGATCGATGCTGCGAATGGCTCCGAAAACTGGATTGTAAGCCAATGGATGGCTTGAGAACTGGCCTTGTGATTGGTTGGTTCTTCTACTTCTACTTGTGACTCCGATAAACTCGTTTTCCCTGATCACGAGGACAAGATTCCTATGCAGATTGGGAAGAAAAATAAAACCGTTGCTATTCTTCGGATTCAGATTCCGTCTGGCTCGGGACTCCGCTCACGACCTCGTTTAGTTTGTCGATTTTAACGATTTTCTAATGACTCAAACAGAAAAAAATTTTAAGGTACATTCTTTTATTCATTTGGCAATAACAAAAGCAATAAACTATTGCCTAAAAACTCATCAAGTTAAAACGACGAGGCGTTTTGCCATATCTCTTACAGTTCTTCTGAACTCTGACATTCAGCGTTCGCCACAACGTCGAATTACCAATTAACACTGACTGCAAAGAGCGCTTCTACATTGAGTGACGTAAAACCAAAACCAAACTTATAAAAACGGCCAGTAAGAAGAAAGGAAAATATCCTGTGTTACCAGAGGCTCCTGATGATATTCGATTACCGACTTTTGTTCAAAACTACGCGAGTGAATGTGTCTCTAAGTAGTAATCATATGGCTTCTTGAGAACTTGTTCAAAGTTACGAGAAAATTTGTGAAGTGGCTTCCGATATTAAGATTCAAATCGAGCATTTGTCTTTTCAACGCAACATTTAATGTTAATTACAGAAGAGAGATTCGTGGCTTCTAGAGATGACAAAAATTCCCGTGTTAGTACTTCAACGAAACTCCTATTTTAGGATTTATGTTACTCTTTCACAATAATGTTTCTAACCTACGCACCAAGTTCTACACCAAACACCTGAACCGATCAACACCGTTAATTTTAGTTTTCATATCTTTGAACTGAAACTGATCGAAAGTTACGTAACGGACTTCTGCCAAAACATCAGGTGAAATTCCTTTTGAAGTACCTAACTCCTTTTTTCCGGCCTTTCTTTGAGTTCGATTTCCCTTCATTATTACTTGGTTTTGAGTTGATACGCTTACTATGTTAAGATGGAAATGAATATTTAAAAAGCAACCGGGTACAAGAGATTCAATTCTAAGCTGTAAGAGTTACATTCAGGAAAACATAAGATGGTTTATCATACCATCGATTGTCACTGAATCTTATGGGATAGGTGAATATTCCTCCAAGAATATTTTTTCATTTATCTACATATCATACTCTAGTGCGGTTAAAAGAAATTTCGGGGAGGTAATGTTTACCTCACAGAACTTCTAATACAGAGGGAGATATACGGCTAAATAATTAGTATAGCAGTTGTTGTTGAATTACATGCCATTATGTCTAAAAGAGACCGTATTTAAGTAAACAAAACTTTATAGATATTAGTGATGTCAACAATTTTCCTCATTTTGGGTAATAAAGTTGCAAATTTCTCCCTTTCCCATATTGCCGGTTCAACTAGAGCCAAATACGCTAAAGATAATTTGGTCGATGTGAAGTCGTCTTGACAACTTGACATTACGCACCCTTCAGAGCTCTAACGGGGAATAAACACGACTTGAAAAGGTGTTCCGGTGACTTATTTTAACTTATTTTAACTTATTTTAACTTACTACGAAGCTACAAAATTCATTGAAGAAAAACGCTTTCCCATATCAATGTGCGACAAGCATGTTTTGTGAAATTGGTAAGAAAATAAAAGGCTCCTTGAGAACTCAAGTTATCTTGATGGTATGTTTACGTCGCTAGATAATATTTAAATAAACAGAACACGAAGGATTAAGTTTTTGTGAGCTCGGTGAGGAAATAGAGAAATATGTTTTTTCGCCTTGTCACGAGCGTGAGAGAAAGGGAAAATTCTGAGTCCACAGAGACATCGACCCCGTTATCCCGCAAACCGATGCTCTACCACTTAGCAACAACGCGAGTAAACAAAGAAAGAAAAATGGCTATTTTTGATTTTGGGCCAGGTGATGAAATAAAGAAATATGTTTTTTCCATATTGTCACAAGCGCGAGACAAGACGAAAAAACGACATTCTCCATTTCTTCACCTAGCTCAAAATAAGAAATTACCGTCTTTCTTTATTTATTTACTACCATAACACCTTCGACATTGCTCATCTTGTAGTATGTAGGAGGCGTGTCATACATGTATATGAACCTTGTAATGGCTCAACTCACTTAGAGTCTCTCTAGCTTGGTTGTAGCGCACAATCTGAAGTTTTGGGACTCGATTCCACCTACAAAATGTTTCCTTTGTCCCACAATAGAACATCTATCTCTAAACGTTTATATAGTCTATTTTCATACTTCACTTTTGCAGAACTATTGCCTTAGTTTTGGTCACAGCATTAAATTCGTTGTAAAATTTTCCTAAATTTCTCTGCCCGTTCTATTGCGGAAAAAATCTTCAGATGATTGCAGTAGTATTACAGGGTGCCTGACAATGGGTCTTTTATAGGCCTGAGACATTTCAAGTAGAGGAACCATTCATCAGCGGAGAAACGGCGTCGTTCTGTTATATAAAAATCCTCTATGTGCAGCTATTTCGAGAAAATCTCTCCTTAAAAAGCATAGAACGTAAACAAAATTTCAAAATTGCTTTGCAAGTCAGGTCCTAGCGGCAAAAAGTATGCGCCTCACTCCCTTAGTTACTTGTGGCGTGCTCACATCATTTCATTTTATCACTGATTTGTCTTTTTGACTCGCGCGACGGACGGCCGAAAAAGAGGGACTGCTCCTAATATACTTCTGTTCTGATTGGTTCACTTAATCTCGAATATCTACAAATATGACGAAGTTTNACACACAACATTGATTGGACGTAGCAATCTAAGAAAAAAATTCAGAAGCTCGTTACAGGTGACATCCTATCAGCCGATTTAACAAGAATTTTGCATTTCACCGATGTATTTAGAATTTTAGACACGACAGTTTGTTCACTTGAAAGAGGTAGAAAATAATAGCTTATGATTTTAGAAATTTTTATCTAGACTTCATTCGAAGTGATGGTGTGAATTATGTAAAATTCAGGAAGGACATGAGGTAAACTATAGTGAATAATATGTCAAGGATTTATGTTAGGCCCTTCCTTTCTTATTTCCATTTTCCTTCTTTCTTCATACTTAAACCTAATTGCCGCTAGGCCATGCGGTAAACTATCGAAGTGGAAAGTGTACCACAGTAACCTTCAACCAACTCGGTGTACTTTACATGTACGTGTAGATAATTATACTTGATCTTGCTACTGCTCAACAATTTACGAACTTACCTGTTATTCTCTGCAGGTCATATCTGTACTTTGTGTTCTAAAAAGTTTCAGGTAAAGAGATTAAATGAAAATAATAATAAAAAAAATGTTCCAGTTTAGCGTGCTGTCAATATTTCTATCAATATCACTTGGGCTTCACAAATAAAACTCCTTAAAACATTTTTAATAAATGGACGCGTCCAACGGCAAATTCACTGTGCTACGTACCTTTTCTATATCTGCAATATTTAATTTTTGGCCGGATTTGACCACTTCCTCAAAAATACTTCCAGAAACCTGCAAAATTGTGGGGACATAAGAATAACAAAAATTAATTTCTCGCAACTGCATATGCATTAGTGGCGACTACATGTTATATTTGGGTCTGCAAATTCGATAAAAACCAGGGCTCGACACACACGGTAGCCCACTAGCCACAGACAAGTAGAAATTCAGTTTTGGCTAGTGGTTTTCGATTCCACTCGCCAGTTTAGCTAGTAAAAAAAACTAAAACTGTCGTAACATCCAAGATGTCTCTAACCACTTGGCTACGAAGTTGAAAAGTTAGTGTCGAGCCCTGATTAAACAGTAAGGAAATTTTGATTTGACGTTGGGCAATCGATTGAGTGAACTCTTTGACCTCTAAAGAGTAACTTCACATCTAAGTTCTAGCATTGACTGGCATCTAAATTCTCCTAACAATATTACCCCAGAATCACGTATTAACGTCATGAGAATAAAGGAAATGATCATTAACAATGGAAGCTCTTGATTGTTACACAAATTCTCCTCATCAGCACCTTAGGAAATGTATAGAGAACAGTATGGAGAATATTCATACTGATGTTAGGGTGTAAAGAGATAAGTAACTTGGGGACAACTGTAGATGTACTAGTAGAATAAACTCGAACCAAAGTTGATGGTTAGTCACGTGAATGTGCAAATCACCCATCTCTACCTCAATTCTCTTCATATCCACGCTATTTGATCCTCTGCATTCTTGCTGTAGATCGTAAATTATACAATATGAAACAATGACCGCAAAATAATCCTATATTAATTTTGCACTTCGTGGTTAAAGAGGGGCGGGAGAACAAACTCACCTGTTTGGAGCTCTGTTTTTATTTTCAACAAAAGGTGAAATATATTGTTGTGTAGTGTCGCTGAGTATTTATACGAGTTATGCCGTAGGGCGAGTCAAAATACAAACGAAGAGTAAAAATACTGAGCGATGCTACACAACAAAACGTCTAATAAGAGATTTATTATCCAACACGCCAAATTGTTATTTCAGTGCGGGCGAATTTCGCGGATATTTCTGGAGTACAAATATCGCGTGATATTTGTACTCGTCTCGCGCGTTACTTTTACTATATACGAAGCACAATTGGATAACAATACGTCATCCTTAGTCTAATAATACACTTTGCCCCTCTTAGCCTATGTATAGTAGTTACAGTGTTCATAGATTATGTACCACCTGTTTACACACGTACATTTACATCCTGTAACATGAAGGGATGATTTATCAGTGCACATGTTCAGTTCCACATGAAATTTTGTTTATGGCCACAGTCTTCAAACCTATATGTACTAGTTCTACTGCAGGGCTCGACACTAACTTTTCAACTTACTTATAATTATAGCCAAGTGGCTAGTGACAACTTAGATGTCAAAACAATTTCAGTTTGTTTTCATTTAATTAGCCAAACTACCTTGTGGAAATTAAAAACCACCAGCCAAAACTGAATTTCTACTAGTAGTGTCAAGCCCTCTGTAGTAATGTTTATCAAAGTTTCAATACAAGCAGCTATTACTATGAAGTGACGTACATTGTTGTGAAGTTCTCCAGCTGTGTTATCTAGCACCAGAATGGCACTACTCTCTGCGTTAGTCTGTGATTGAAGCTGCAAGTAACAAGTACATAAAAATTGCATTACTTTCTCGATAACTTTTGACTCGTACAGTGATCAAATATTCCATATCATGGTAACAACAAAACACTGAGAATCTGTTGAAATATTATTATTTTCTGGTATATTATATGCCCATGCATAACCTTTGCCACACATTATGAATAACACACTTACAACTTCAAATATAAGTAAACTATCATGTAGATGTTAAAACTTAATACAAGAAATAAAAATCTATATTCATTCTGATAGGCAATTATAATAACACTTACAAAGTCCCCTATTTTGCTTGACAAAGGTCCCACTTCTTTCTCATAACATCTACCTGTTTTATTGGGAATGTACCATATAAAAATAATCTAACTAACATTAAACGGCAACATTCTGCATAATGAGACCTTTACTCATCAAGCACTAAGTTTTTAGCTTAGTATACTCAATTGAATTTGTATATGTTTGACTCAAAATAAATCATACATCCTGTCTAGATAAGGACTTCCCCTGTGGAAGTTAATCAACCCCTGTTGTTTTCTTAATTAGCCATAATCTCCCTTGGGCTAAACATTATAGAGTGTGCAGGCAGGCTCTCACTGGGCTTGCCTCGCAACAAGGAGCTAGCTGACAACCAGAGAAAACAGAATAAAGATGAAATCAATCTAGAAATAAATTGAAATGTTGCTGATAAACATGCAGCCTCTCAAATCATCTAAATGAGAAAATTACAAAACATCTTTGTCATTTTCCATGTGTAGCAGCCATATTAATTGTCAACTCAAAGGTAACATTTCTTAGTGGAGGCTTAAAGTCTGAGTTTAATTGGCCACAAGAAGAATGGAAAGGAAACATGGTAGAGGTAGTTTTGGAGGTGACTGGAACAGTGAATTTGGTCAAACAAGCAAGATTTCTTCAACATATAAGGATCAATGCATTTTCAAACTGTAACATATGTGGTAGATATTAATATCTACAGAGCTCTGACAACTTTAAAAGTCTTATTTTTCCAAAAAATTACTGACAACACTGTTAGATAACTTGGGTAAATATTTCAATATCCCTGGTTTCAGTGAAATAGCCAATTTTAGGCGTGAGTGGTCCAGTGGTCAGTGCGCTGGACTCTGGGTCAGAGGGCCCGGGTTCAAGTCCTGGCTGGGGCTCGACGTTGTGTCCTTAAGCAAGACACTTCACTCACATTGCTTCGTCTTCTCGGATAGGACGTAAAACTGGAGGTCCCGTCTCCTGCATCTGTCAGTTAATTTGGTTAGGCAGGGGATGTTAAAGAACACCCTTCACGAGATTACTGTGAGGTGGTCTGGCCTGTTTATTAGGAATTGGGGGGAGGGGGCATCTGTAAAATTTCTTCTTTATTACTTGTAAACTGCCGCTGGCAATCTGGAAGAAGTCCCCCGCACAGTGTTGTAAAGCGCATTAGAACATTGCATGGAAATGCGCTATAGAAATTGATATTATTATTATTTATTATTAATTACCTTTAATTACACAGCTAGCTGGTAAAAATAAGCAGTTAATGGCTCTACAAACAAGAACCTTGTATACATTGTACTAAAAGGTCCCCACTGCATATGACAGATTGTATATTGAGAAATTTCTAATAGATGGGATAAGTACTTACTAAAAAAATCCAAAAAGGTCTTCTGCCTTTCGAATTCATGAAAATATTTACTCCTCTCTGTTATATGATAATAACTTAGAAGCATCTGAAAGTACAAACAAATCATTGTTAAGCAAATAAGCCTAATAATCAAAATGAAGCAACAGTAACTGCAACATTACACCACAAAGAGATGATCAGATGGCTGCATGAGCAAAAGCTTCATAATATAGTAACATGCAGTTAACTACAACAGACAATTTCAGAACATTGAGCTACTTGTCTGAGTTAAACAAACCTGCTGCTGTGTGTAATCCAGTATGGACAGAGTATCCTCTTCTACTCCACAAACAACCTGCAGATACAAGAGAATATTCATTAACACAAATCACTTTTGTTTTGGTTCTCCCCATTGTAATTATATTTTCATTGTCTGGGTGTGGCACCATTTTTGAAGGATACACTCTAGTTATTACCCAGACATGTGTTTCAGTGCATACCCTTATTTTAAGCACACCATAGAATTATAAACAGTTTTAGGGTCCTTTCTACTTGAATGTGGGGGACCCCAGGCAGATGAGCCAAGCTATAGTGAAAAAATGAGCCTTACTTAGATACAAGCTTACAACCCCAGGATCCCAGGATTTAGTTGGCTTGAATTTGCTAGTACCATTTGCAAATGTACCACCGTTGATGCCCCAGCTAGGCCTGTTACGTACCCCACCTTGAGACATTTGCATGGTAAACTTTGATCTTACCTTACAGGGTCACCCTACCTGGATAATCTGGGTTACCCCACCTATTATGTAAACGTGATCAAGATAACGAAAGGTCCCTCCCCTCCATTATAAGTAGGCCCTTAAGCAATAAAAGGAGTTTAACTACAGTACAGATGATAAGTTTAACCAGTTACCATCTGAAAACGGCAACACTGTGCTCACCAAAAATTTTCACATTTGAGTGTAGTCATGACTAATTATATAAGTGCATGCACTCCTTTAAAAGCATTCTACTTTATTTGCTAGAGGTAAATGTAAAGGAAACAGTTCACATCTTTTTATATCAAATCATTTTTTTGGAGAGAGCAGTCTGTTGTTTTCATTGGTGGTTCTGGGCAGAATTAAATTCTCTACACAAACAGATTTCCATTAGTCATGTACATGCACACTCAACTTATGGAATTACTAGGTCATTTCAAAATACATATGTAATCGTACAAGAGATGTATATATATTTGACCAACCAGTAATTTGTTGTGATCATGGGAAACGCTTTTTACCACAACAAACTTACCATCAGAAATGCAACTAGTTTATTGTCTTTGTACAGTGGTGACATTATCACTGGAAAAGAAAGTGTTACACAGTTTAGAGGTGTCTAGTATATATATATATTTAACAATTATTCCATGAGCGCGCGTTGGATATGAGATGATAGATAGCCAACGAGGCGCGTAGCGCCGAGTTGGCTATAATCATCTCATATCCAACAAGCGCGAGTGGAATAATTGTTTTATTAAAAATGTAAAATTAAATTATTAAATTTTATTAAATTTTTAATAAAATTTAATCTTAAGCTGAAACCTACGCTTGCCATATTTGTAGATTATGGTATATTGGCTGATATACCATAATGGCTAAGCCAATAAAAAGTCTTGAATTGCATTATCCAATGATCTAGTTTTTAATAAATATATATATACTATATGCATATATCACTGGTGGACATGCAGATATATAAAAGCTAAAACCCATATGTTTTCACCTCAACATACCAGTTAAAAGCCATTATACTGGGCTTCAACAATATCTTAAGGGTGTTATTGAAAGGAGGCTTATATGCTGAGGGTATATATTATCTGCCATATATTAGGTATCTGATAATGTATATCCTAACATATGTGAAATACGCTTTACAAATATTTGAAAAAAGCACAAAGCAAAATTGAGTGTGAAACTGCTAAGAGCTAGTTTTTAATTACGAACCTCTTTGATTACTTTCAAGTGTTTCAGCTGATGGTAAAAATACTAAACAAGGATCGTCTTCGTCAATGTTGGATAAGACCATTCTTTGCTTACCATCAATGGCTCTCCTGGAGATGACATCATACATGTAGAACTGTAATGTTTTGACATGGACATGCTGAATGCATGCATGTGTATATATGCTGTGGTTCAATTTTTTTCCTTTACTAACAATAATTGTTTATTTTCCTTTTTTTCAAATTATGATGACTATATATAATTTAAGACATTTAATTTCAAAACAAAAGTCAGGACTTCGTGTGAAAATTAACCTTTGAACACAGAAATGATTTGAACCACAAACATACACAAAAATACTTTTGGGTTGCAAAAAAACTGTGAAATCTAACTTGACATCTAGAGTGTTTAAATGACCTTATAAACAAATGACATTCTTTTCATGGTTTCACATTGTTCCCTTCTTCATGACATTTTGTAATTTTTGAACAATGATTTCATGACATTAATTTTTTTAAATTCTAAATCTTCAAAGGTGTTAAATCAAATCACATGTGCCTTCTGAGAGATGTTTACTAGTCCCTATATTCATTTATGACCATAATTTTACAAAAATTTGAAAAATATTTAATGAGTTTTTGTCTATTAAAAAACCAAATATTCTTGATGTGTTAACAATCAGTATAGCCACTTGTAATGAAATAAATTTCATTTGACCAGCTGCAAATGAAAATCAAGTATAGAAATGATCTTCACAAATTTGCCTGATAGCAAGAGTTCAAAAAACTTATCTAAATGGCAGAGGTTTGAATCCTGACACGGACTAAATTTTTTCAGGTTTCTTCTCAGCAATTGCTAAAATTGCTGTCCACCTATAAAGATTGTCTCTTTGCTTAATCAATCAATGTTTACAAATATTTTTAAATACAAACCTGGCAACTCCACTTTTTGGTATCTGAGGTACACTGATACCAGATCTTTCAAGAGCTTCAAGTTCATCTGAGATAGGACTTAAAACAAACACCAGCACATCTACCTGTAAACATAATCAAGCGTCTTGCATTTTCTTTTATGAACAGTTGCCGGCAGACCAGCAAGTCATGTCACTAAACAATGTTTAAAAAGAGTGATTTTTTTTTTTCTGAGGGAGAGAAACTAAGTAGTTACTCTTCCTTCTTTCCTTCAAAAAAAAAAAAAAAACAGCTGTGGATGGATGCACAGGTATTTAAAACACAGAATACACACAACTTCAGGGTGTCCAAGCAATGTAATATCTTGTTTCTCACATCATTGTCACGCCACTCCGATTCAAGCATGTCCCCTTCCCCTCAAACCATTATAAAAATTGATACGAGCAAAGTACATACATACATACATACGTTACTTGACCACTCCCCATAGGGACTTTTCAGGGCCAATTCCCAC